ATGGAAGACAAAAAATCCCTCAACCTTAGGAGGGATAAATATACCAATAATCCACAGCACCCACCTGTAAGCGGTAATCCTCTCATAAAATTAGCGTCAGCAGGACCACAAAGCCAAGTGCCTCGCCCATTGTGTGTGTGGGACAAAACAATTGTGCTGCAGTCAAAACAAAGACGTCATCACGTCTACGCCAACATGCCGAATAACTTGGTTTACAACTTGTAAGACGACAGAAATCTTCTTGTGGTTGTTTGTCAAGAACACTAACAATAATCCAGGACACACACACACTCACACCCCCACACATTTCCATTCACCTGGGTACCCACTGTGTCACTCACTCACTCGCTCACTCAACCAGTCATTGGCTTCCTTTTATTTAAGACTCTCTTTGCTTTTGTAAGGTACTTACCCACACACACACCCCCATGCACACACACACATACTTGTGCAATTTTTGAAATTCAATAAATTCCTTGCTGTTTGCATGTTATCCTTTATTGTTGCATGTTTACATTTCAAGTCAGTGTTTGAGGTGAGTGCGAGTGTGTGTGTGTGCAAATTTTGAAAGACACAAAGCTATATTCTAAGAATATTTTTAAGTAGTTTTGTGTGGCAGAACAATGGAGAAGAGAGGTGGAACAACTGAAAATGTTAGCATGCATGCACCGTCTAAAGGTAAATAGAAAAGAAGGTAAATTTACTTCTCCTAAGAAGTTGAGGACACGAACTTGACAGTAAGATAATGTGAATGCATTAGATATGCTATCTAGATAATATAGATACTTTAAGAATGCTATATAAATCGGGTAGATACTATTTATATGTATTGGGGAGAGATAGATACAATATTAATTATATCTAGGAAACGTAGATACATTATCCACTTGGTTTAGATAACTCAGATCCATTATACACATGACTCGGAAAACGTTATTCACAGTGTATTGAGATGACAAAGATACATTATCCGCATGGTTAAGATGTCGTAGATACATTATCTACGTTATCTGAAACATGTAGATAAAGTATATACATTAGGATAACGTAGATACATTATCTACACGATGTAGATACATCATCTACGTTATCTACATCTTGTAGATACATTATCCACGTTATTTGGGTAACATAGATACATTGTCTAGGATATTTAGGTAATTTAGATACATTGTCAACCTTGTTCCGTTAAGGTACATGCATTATCTATGGTATAAGGAAAACGTAGATACATTATCTAGGTCATTTGAATGGCGTATATACATTATCTAGGATATTAACTGACATAGATACATTATCTAGGTTATTAAGATTACGTAGATACATTATCCGCGTTACTTGGATGACGTAGATACATGATATAAGTTATTAAGATAACGTAGATACATTATCCACGTTATTTGAATGACATAGATACATTATCCAGGATATTAAGATAACATAGATACATTTTCCACGTTCTTTGGGTGACGTATATACATTATCTAAGCTGTTACGATAACGTAGATTCATTATCCACGTTATTTGGATGACGTAGATACATTACCTATGCTATTAAGATAATGTAGATACATTATCCGTGTTATTTGGATGACATAGATACATTATCCAGGATATCACGATAACGTAGATACATTATCCGCATTATTTGGATGACATAGATACATTATCCACAATATTTTGGTGACGTAGAACATTATCTAGGGCATTAAGATAACGTAGGTACATTATACACATTCTTTGGGTGACGTAGATACATTATCTAAGCTATTAAGATAACATAGATACATTATCCACGTTACTTGGATGACGTAGATACATTATCTAAGCTATTAAGATAACGTAGATACATTATCCGCGTTATTTGGGCAACGTAGATACATTATCTAGGGTATTAAAATAACGTATATACATTATCCACAATATTTTGATGACGTAGAACATTATCTAGGGCATTAAGATAACGTAGATACATTATACACGTTCTTTAGGTAACGTAGATACATTATATAAGCTATTAAGATAACGTAGATACATTATTCGCGTTAGTTGGATGACATAGATACATTATCCAGGATATCACGATAACGTAGATACATTATCTAGGGTATTAAAATAACGTTTATATATTATCCACGTCATTTGGATGACGTAGATCCATTATCTAGGATATAAAGATAACGTAGATACATTTTCCACATTCTTTGGGTGAAGTAGATACATTATCTAAGCTATTATGATAACGTAGATACATTATTCAAGTTATTGGGATGACGTAGATACATTATCCGCGTTATTCGGATGACGTAGATCCATTATCTAGGATATAAAGATAACGTAGATACATTTTCCACTTTCTTTGGATGACGTAGATACATTATCTAAGCTATTAAGATAACGTAGATACATTATTCAAGTTATTGGGATGACGTAGATACATTATCTAAGCTATTAAGATAACGTAGATACATTATCTAGGGTATTGGGATGACATAGATACATTATCCAGGATATTAAGATAACGTAGATACATTATCCACGTTCTTCGGGTGACGTAGATACATTATCTAGGGTATTTAAATGACTTAGGTACATTATCCATTATATTTGGGTAACGCAGATACATGATTTAGGGTTGTAAAATAACGTAGATACCTTACCCACTTTATTTGGATGACGTAGATACATTATCTAGGATATTAAGATAACGTAGATACATTTTCCACGTTCTTTGGGTGACGTAGATACATTATCTAAGCTATTATGATAACGTAGATACATTATCCACGTTATTTGGATGACATAAATACATTATCCACGTTATTTGGATGACGTAGATCCATTATCTAGGGTATTGGGATGACATAGATACATTTTCCACGTTCTTCGAGTGACGTAGATACATTATCTAAGCTATTATAATAACGTAGATACATTATCCACGTTATTTGGATGACTTAGATACATTATCTAAGCTATTAAGATAACGTAGATACATTATCCACGTTATTTGGATGACATAGATACATTATCCACGATATCACGATAACGTAGATACATTATCCGCGTCATTTGGACAACGTAGATACATTATCTAGGGTATTAAAATAACGTAGATACATTATCCACAATATTTTGATGACGTAGAACATTATCGTTCTTTGGGTGACGTAGATACATTATCTTAGCTATTAAGATAACGTAGATACATTATCCACGTTATTTGGATGACATAGATGCATTATCCAGGATATTAAGATAACATAGATACATTATTTACGTTACTTGGATAACGTAGATACATTATCTAAGCTATTAAGATAACGTAGATACATTATCCGCGTTACTTGGATGACGTAGATACATTATCTAAGCTATTAAGATAACGTAGATACATTATCCGCGTTAGTTGGATGACATAGATACATTATCCAGGATATCACGATGACGTAGATACATTATCTAGGGTATTAAAATAACGTAGATACATTATCCACGTTACTTGGATGACGTAGATCCATTATCTAGGATATAAAGATAACGTAGATACATTCTCCACATTCTTTGGGTGAAGTAGATACATTATCTAAGCTATTATGATAACGTAGATACATTATACACGTTATTTGGATGACGTAGATACATTATCTAGGTTATAAAGATAACGTAGATACATTATCTAGGGTATTAAAATAACGTAGATACATTATCCACGTTATTTGGATGACGTAGATCCATTATCTAGGATATAAAGATAACGTAGATACATTTTCCACATTCTTTGGGTGAAGTAGATACATTATCTAAGCTATTATCTGGGGTATTAAGAAAATGCAGATACATGATCCACGTTATTTAGGTAACGTAGATACATTATCTAGGTATTCAGATAACGTAGATACACTATCCACGTTTTTTGGGTAACGTAGATACTTCATTTGAGGTATTAAGATAACTTAGATACATTATCTAGATTATACGGATGACTTAGATACACATAATTTAGATACCGCAAACGAGTTGTAGCTCTTCTCATTGTAGAACTGCTGCTCCTCTTTCATGGTAAAGCTAGAGCTCTTCCATCTCCAAAAGGGCTTCTGTAGCTCTCCGCATAGAAGTGATGTTAGTTTTCTTCTCAAGTCATTCTCAAATTACTTTTTATTACTTATATCCTCTCTCTCTCTCTCTCCCTCAGTTCCGCCCTCCCCTTTGCATTTTCCCCCCTCTCTCTGTTTTCCTCCGGCGTCAACACATTATCCACGTAATTTAGATACCGTAAATAAACTTTATCTTAACTCTGAACAGAACTGTAGCACGTCTCATAGCAATGCTGCGGCTCCTCCTCCGTAGCAGAGCTGATGCTCCTCTTTCATAAAAAAACTTAAACTTTTCTTCCTCCAGAAGAACTTCGGTAGCTCTTCGCATTGAAGAGCTGTTAGTTTCCACCTGAAGTCATTCTCAAATGACCTTTTATTACTCCCACTATACACTCTCTCATTTTCCTCTCTCTCTCTCACACACACATAACATCAGGGGTGCTCAAGAAGAAATATCTGTTTTCAGTCAAATTTCTCTTTGCTTATTTAAATCAAGAACAAAACAGTGTTAAGTCATTATTTATACAAATATTTTTTATCCATTTGCTTTATAAACTATTTTGGCAAACATTCGTGTTTAAAAACAATTAAATAGAACAGTAAAATATAAAGAAAAACAGAATTTTAATTTTCTCTTAAATTATCTCTTTTTTCTCTTCATGTTCTAGAACACGGTTTTGAGCACCCCTGCATAACATTTATTGTTTATCTTCCTTAAAAAGCAATCTCTCTTAAAAAAAAAAGTTGAGCTCTTCTACCTCCAAAAGAACTTATGTAGCTCTTTGCATTGAATAGCTGTTACTTTCCAAATCAAGTCACCCTCATTTTTTTATTACTTCCACTTCCCACTCTCTCAATTTACTCTCTCTCTCTCTCTCTGTCTCTCTCTCTCTCTCGCACACACCATTTATTGTTTATCTTCCTTGAAATACAATCTCTCATTTAGTGGGCGAAAAAAGTAACCATGCTTTGCCGGTTCTCCGGGTCGAATATCGCCATCATTGGTAAGGATTTTTGCATTCGGCAAGGGTGAGAATTTGAACAAACGTTTGCGTAATTTCGGCACATAGTTGGGCAACATATGGATGGGGGTCTCCAAGAGCTTGGATTGGATCTCTTCGGTTTTCTTTGTCATTATGGGTTTGTTACGTAACCTCCTCTCTGGTGGCAGTTTCTCTTTTAGTTCCTTGACTTGTTGCGCCGTTAGGACGGTGGGACGTTGTTCATCATCCGTCCAGCGATCAAGGCTGGAGCCAAAGGCAAGCTTACGATTAGTACGCAACTGTTTGCGGCTCACAACTTTGATCATACGATCGAAGATGATGCGAACGGGCAGTTGGGGCATTGGTTCCGCACGAAGACTCCCCAAATCATGAGGCGGGTCTAATATCATATTTACATATTTGGCATCGTGAAATAGTTTCACCAATTTAGCTTTGCCCTTGGCAATGACCTCCGCGGTTATTGTACGCTTTTGAGGCCCCGTGGGGGTTTTGAAGAGGCGCTTGAAACCTCCACCAGCCACATGACGCCAATCGGGAGAACAAAACTGCTCCGCCTTGAGTTTTGTGTAGGCCATGCGTCGAAATTTAAAACGTTTTTCACGTTCCACCAACAGCTCCAGTTGGGGTAAATATTTGCGGTTACTGGGACAGGGACATAGATTGCGATATCGGGTCTCGTAACGCCCGGGCCCAGGAAGGAAGCTGATGTGTGGCGTATGTATGCTGTTGGGTTTCAAGGGGACACTGGATCGACGATAAAAAATGTGGGGATTGAGAAATTTTGATGAGGACTCCAGTGGTGTGCCACGCCTCTTGCCTGGTTCCTGGGGATTGTAGGTATTGGGTGCCGGCTCGGAAGGATCCTTGTAGGCCGTCAAGGGATTACCTATCATACAGCGGGAAGTGGCTCTCCTATCTCGGGCATCTAAGGAGGGACAATTAAATACATTTTCTTATCCTATTCCAAATCGTCCTTACTTGACACGAATTGTCCTTTGTGGCTGTGGCAGGGAGTAGCCATTTTCTCGGTCTCCTTTGGCAGATCGTACAGGCGATAGCTAGTCTTTGGGGCAGTTTTCCTTTTCAACGACTTCGTTGTGGGCAACTTACGCCAATATGCTCCCTTGAGACCAGCCTTACTCTCAAAGGGCCTGAAATCCTGGCGATATCTATTCGGAGGCAACTGCCAAGATTTTTCTTTTGAGGGAGACACAGATTGTCCTCTTTTCGGAGTAATACAGCCAAAAATTTTAGTTTTTTTCTCCTTGCCAAAAATGTAATGGTATTTTCGTTGAAGAAAGGCATCCTTGTCGTCCTTGATGTCATCTTCATTATCTGAGAGATATAAGTTCTTATTTTTGACAATAAAGTTCCTTAGGTTCGTTGGTTCCATTGGCTTCCGGAAACGTACACCTGAAAGAGAAGGGGGATAGGATTTTCTTGGAAAGGAATTTTTCTCTATGATCCTTACGTGAGGTCATAAACAGAGGAAGGTCTAAACGTTCTGCAAGGAATTGTCCACCATTGCCTTCCATTGTTTTTAGGATATTTTTTTTTTGGATTTCTGAGGGAAGGGTAGAGGTTGGAGAAAAAAAATAAAATAGAACTCCAATAATTTGTCAACGTCAATTTTGAAATTTAGGAGAGAGAGAGAAAGGGAGAGATAAGATAAAAGAGAGAAATAAAACGGAAGAGAAAATTGAAGAGATATGGGGAGAGAGAGAGAGAGAGTAGACCTGTGGAAGATCTCTATGTTTTCTGGGAGATAACAAACACCACCTCTCAAATAAAATCCATAGCTCGTCTGTGAGAGAGCTACATCACTTTTTCTATGAGAAAAGCTTTTCGAGGCTTTTCAAAGGTATAAATTACAGCTTTTCCAGGAGAAGGACAAGATCCCTATGTTTTCTGGGAGATAACAAACACCTCCTCTCAAATAAAATCCATAGCTCGTCTGTTAAAGAGCTACATCATTTTTTCTATGAGAAAAACTTTTCGAGGCTTTTCGAAGGTATAAATTACAGCTCGTCCAGTAGAGGGACAACATCTTTTCTAGGAGTAGAGCTACAGGTACAGAGAGAAGACCTCTAGATGAAACCCCTTATCAATGAAACCCCATAGCTCGGCTGTGAGAAGGGCTACAGCAGGTTTCCTATGGGGAGAGCTACAACTTTTTGAGGAGATAAATAAAGCTCTTCTAGGAGAAGGGCAACAAATTTTCCAGGAGTAAAGCTACGGATTTTCTATAAGAAGTGCTACAGTACTCCCTGCTAATTATGAAAAGAGAAAGAGAGAGAGAAGACTTGTGGAAGATCTCTTTGAATTCTGGGAGATAACAGCAGCTCTTCTCATTGATCCCCCAGAACTCGTGTATGAGAAGAGCTTCAGCAGTTTTTCTATGAGAAGAGCTACAGCTTTCCGAGGTGATAAGCTACAGCTTTTGAGGAGAAGGGAAACACCTTTTCTAGAAGTAGAGCTACGAGTATGGAGAGAACACCTATGGTAGATCTCTATGTATTCTGGCCGACAACAGCAGTTCTTCTCAGTGAAACCCCATAGCTCGTCTGTGAGAAGGTCTACAGCAGGTTTCCTATGGGGAGAGCTACAACTTTTCGAGGAGAAAAATTACAGCTCTTCTAGGAGAAGTGCAAAAATTTTCCAGGATTAAAGCTAGGGATTGTCTATAAGAAGTGCTACAGTTCTTCCAGAAAATTAAGGAGAGAGATGGAGAATAGAAGAGATGAGATGAGTAGAGAGAGAAGATCTGTGGAAGATATCTATATATTCTCGGAGATAAAAACAGCTCTTCTTAGTAAAGCCCCAGAACTCGTGTATGAGAAGAGTTTCAGCAGTTTTTCTATGAGAAGAGTTACAGCTTTCCGAGAAGATAAACTACAGCTTTTGACGAGAAGGGAAATACCTTTTCTAGGAATAGAGCTAGGGATACGAAGGGAAAACCTATAGCAGATCTCTATGTATCCTGGGCGATAACAACAGCCCTTCTCAGTGAAACCCCATATCTTAGCTATGAGAAGGGTTACAGCAGGTTTCCTATGGGGAAAGCTACAGCTTTTTGAGGAGAAAAATTACAGCTCTTCTAGGGAAAGTGCGACAAATTTTCCAGGAGTAAAGCTAGGGATTGTCTATAGGAAGTGCTACAGTCCTTCCAGAAAATTAAGGAGAGAGATGGAGAAAGGAAGAGATGAGTAGAGAGAGAAGACCTGTGGAAGATCTCTTTGTATGCTGGGAGACAACAACAAGCTCTTCTCAATGAAACCCCAAAGCTGGTCTATGTAAAGAGCTCTAACCTCTTTTCTATTGTAAAGCTGCAGCATTTCGAAGCCCCAGAACTCGTGTATGCGAAGAGCTTCAGCAGCTTTTCTATGGGAAGAGCTGCAGCTTTCCGAGGATATAAATTACAGATTTTCGAGGAGAATGGAATCATATTTTTTATATTTTTTAGGAGTGAAGCTACAGGTACGGAGATAAGACCTATGGTAGATCTCTATGTATTCTGGGCGATAATAGCAGCTCTTCTCAATGAAACCCCATAGATGGTCTATGTAAAGAGCTCTAACCGCTTTTCTGTTGTAAGAGCTACAGCATCTCGCAGCAATAAAGTTACGGATTATCCAAAAGCAGAGCTACAGCTCTCCCTGCAAATTAAAAAGAGAGAGAGAGATAGAGAGAGAAATAATTAAAGAGATAAGTAGAGAGAGAGAAGACCTATGGAAGATCTCTATGTATGCTGGTAAAGAACAACACCTATTCTCCGTGAAGCCCCACAGCTCGACTAAGAGAAGAGCTACATTAGCTTTTTTATGAGAAGAGCTACAGCTTTCCGTGGATATAAACTACCGATTTTTGAGGAGAAGTGAAACATATTTTTAGGAGTAAATCTACGGGTACGGAGAGAAGACCTATGGAATATCTCTGTGTATTTTGGGCAATAATAATGAACCCCCATTGCTAGTCTATTACAAGAAGAGAAGAGTTAGTGCTTTTCGAGGAGATAAAATGATCGGAAATCTCTTTTAAATCAATGGCTCTTTTTATACTCTACACCACAAGGTGGACAGAGTATAATGTCTTTGGGCATTTGTTTGTAACAGGCAAAAGTAAACGAGATAGACCCATAGTTCCTTTTGATGATCTGCATAGAATCACATTCTGAGTCGATTTATGCATGTCCGTCCGTCTGTCCATGTATTTTTGTAAACAAAGTACAGTTCACATTTATTACCCTATCCAGATGAAATTTTACACAAATCATTTGTTTGGCCCAAGAACGAACCCTATTGAAATTGGAGATAATCGGAAAAAATTTTAGGTATAGCTCCCATATATATCTTCGTCCGATTTGCCTTTTATTGTGCACCAAACGTGTAATATCAGCCCGAATAGTATGGAATTTTGCACATACAACCAAATTAGGCCTTGAAATAGGTATACCAAATTTGATCGAAATCGGTTCAGATATAGCTATAGCTCCCATATATATTGTTCATCCGATTTGTTATTTTAGTCCTCCGCAGCCATAATATGCACTCTGTAACAACAATGTTTACGGAAATTTATCAAATGCAGCTCAGAAATACATTTGCTAAAATTTATCGAGATCGGTTAAGATTTGGATATATCTCCCATACATAACTTCGTCCGATTTACCTTTTATTGTGCACCAAATGTCTAATATTTGTCCAAATGGAATGAAATTTGGCACATACGACCGAATTGAGTCTAGAAGCTAGTATGTCAAATTTCGTGAAGATCGGTTCAGATATAGCTATAGCTCCCATATATACTGTTCATCCGATTTGTTATATTTGTTAACCACAGCCGTAATATACACTCTGTAACAACAATATTTGGGGAAATATATCAAATACAGCTCAGAAATACATTTGCTAAATTTTATGGAGATGGGTTCAGATTTGGATATAGCTCCCATATATAACTTCGTCCGATTTACTTTTTATTGTGCACCAAACGTCTAATTTTTGTCCGAATCGGATGAAATTTGGCATTTATGACCGAATTGAGTCTAGAAGCTAGTATGTCCAATTTGGTGAAGATCGGTTCAGATACAGCTATATATACTGTTCATCCGATTTGTTATATTTGTTACCCACAACCGTAATATGCACTCCGTGACAACGATATTCAGGGGAATATATCAAATACAGCTCAGAAATATCTTTGCCAAATTTTATCGAGATCGGTTCCGACTTGGATATAGCTCCCAAATATATATCTTTATCCGATTTCAAATTAATTGTGCATCAAATGGACAATACAAGTCCGAATTTAAAAGATACAAATGCTTCGGCATATTTAATCCTTTGAACGTTAAATTATAATTATAATCATAGCGCGTATGATTGAATTCTCCCATAAAAACTTTTGATTGTTATGCGGAGCTCTACTAAATTAGCAAAGTGGTGTAGGGTATCAGAAAGTCGGCCCGCCCGACTTTAAGACTTTCTTTACTGGTTTCTCTCTCAATTTTCTTTTTTTTTTGTGCTGCTTAAAAATACCAATGCCCATGTTTTTGTAGGGGGTATGTGTGTTCGTAAATGCATGCATTATGTTTGCGTGTGTGTGTGTGCGTGTGTTGCAAGTACAAAAAATATGTTATTACAGAGAATTTGCAACGCGAAAATAGCCACAAAAAGGAAAACCAACCAACAAAGAACCTCACCCACCCCTCTCCCCCGCAAAAATGGGATGGTTATTTTGTTGTCATTGGACAAAGGATTAAGTCACTGACACTCTCCGACTTTATTATCTCAATTTTGTTCGTTTTTCTTCCAATTTTTTTGGTTTTCGTTGTACATTTACATAAAATGTATTAAATTCAGTCACAGCTGTGACAAACAAATACCAAAAAATAAAAAAAAAAAATAAAAGATTTACCGAAAAAAGCTCTGTGGAAAGGGCTTCTCAAAATAAAACGAGATTTTAAAGAGGATTTTGAAGTATTGAATTGAAGGTATTATGGCTGAAAGAAAACAAGAGTGCCAGTTTTATTTGGAAACGAAAATGAATTAAATGAAGGGATAAGGGAGAATCGAGGGGGGTGGGTTGTTTGAATATATCTTAAAGAGTAGAAAACCAGTAAAGAAAGTCTTAAAGTCGGGCGGGGCCGACTTTATGATACCCTACACCACTTTGCTAATTTAGTAGAGATCCGCATAACAATTAAAAGTTTTTATGGGAGAATTCAATCACACACGCTATGATTATAATTCGAATTTAAAGTTCAAAGGACTAAATATGCCGAAGCATTTGTATCTTTTAAATTCGGAATTGTATTTCCCAGTTGGTGCACAATTAATTTGAAATCGGATAAAGATATATATTTGGGAGCTATATCCAAGTCGGAACCGATCTCGATAAAATTTGGCAAAGATATTTCTGAGCTGTATTTCATATATTTCCCTGAATATCATTGTTACGGAGTGCATATTACGGCTGTGGGTGGCAAATATAACAAATCGGATGAACAGTATATATGGGAGCTATAGCTATATCT